CCCCCCCCCCCCCCGGCCCGTGTACTGTGGTCATTAAACTTTGGGACAGTATCATTTTAGCTTCTTAACCCAATTGGTTATCTCAAGAAAGTTCATTTTCAAGTTCAGGTTGAAACTGTTACCCATTTTTCTTACATTCTTGGATAACCTTCACAGACAGCACACAGCTATCCTAAGACATCTGTTTATTTTCTTGAGGGACAGTGTGGGTCTTAGACTGAAGCAAGGAGAAGTTGTTGTCTTAAGTCTGTGCCTCACATCCCCCTGGAAGGAGTTAGTTCCTTAGGGTAGCAGTGGCCCTGAAACCAGTAGAGCTTTTTACAGTGACCGAGGTCCTATTTCAGTGGGTCTAGGGTAGGGCTGGCATTGATGATTTAAAAGTTCCTCAGTTGATTCTAATTCCCAACCTGGGTAGTGAATCACCAGTTTAAAGCAGAGGATAGAGAAAGTGAGCAACTTTTCAGTTTTCTTCTGACTCAGGAAATCGCACTGTGGCCACTTACTTAACTTGAATTATTTAGAGTTGCCAAATTATTAGATACGTTTTCAGTGGAATATGATCATGGAAGCATATTACATAGGCAAATGCCTCTTTGGATTATGCTACTCTCTTGTCCATCTCCTTTGACAGAGAGAATTGAAATTACTGTTCTGTAAGAGACTGAGGTTTGCCTGAGGAGAACCAGTCCTCAGTCTTATAACAAATAATCAAGTTCAACTAGACCTTGTAACGTAAAGTTTTAAAAGAGTTAAAATATCATGTTAAGTTAAAATATTCCTGGAGAAAATTTTAAAAGTTTAGGTTGGAGAAGATCCTTGAAATATAGACCAGGGAGATGTTTTCTGTCCTCGACCTTCCTATTCTGTTCTTTCTGAGGGTGTAGGTTCTATGTAAGGATTGGGTTTCTTTTAAGAAAAACTACTTTGGGGCTTCCCTGGTGGCACAGTAGTTAAGAATACGCCTGCCCATGCAGGGGACACGGGTTCGAGCCCTGGTCTGGGAAGATCCCACCTGCTGCAGAGCAACCTAGCCCGTGCGCCACAACTACTGAGCCTGCGCTCTAGAGCCCGCGAGCCACAACCACTGAAGCCCATGTGCCTAGACCCCGTGCTCCACAACAAGAGAAGCCACTGCAATGAGAAGCCTGCACACCGCAACGAAGAGTAGGCCCTGCTCACCGCAACTAGAGAAAGCCCGCGCACATCAACAAAGACCCAACACAGCCAAAAATAAAAAATAAATAAAAAATGTACAGATAGAAAGAAAGAAAACTATTTTATTTGGACCTGAATTCTGAAATTTCAGAAACTGACCTCTAAGGCTGACCAGAGCCAATAAATGTATTTTGTGGTGCTTAACTTGGAAGTCTTCTAAAGCTTCCTTCTCATGGGCTGAGTGGGTATGTGCAGTTTGGTTCCTACAGTATCTGAGCACATAGATATAGAACAGAATGTGGAGGATTCAGGCACTTATAATGGATAACCTATTACATGACGACTGCTAGCTCCAAGTCATTCTCTTCAGCAGTACACCTAGAACAGGAAAAGGTGGAGACCACTGACCAGAATGGCATCTTTTACTACAAAGGCTGTAGTGTACCCCCAGGAAAATTGTGCATCATCAGAGTTTGGTCCCACTTTGCAAATTGTTTGTCACTTGGGGGCAAAGGTATCTAATTAACATGAGGATGTTGAAATGTATTACCTGGTGTTTGTGTTTATCAGAAAAGGGCATTAAAACCAACTTTGTGCAATACTGTTTTATGGCTGAGTAACCCACTGTAAATTCCTAGATTGGAATGATAATCCTTGTTTTACTACAAATTGCATATGCCTACACATCCTTCACCTCTGCTATGCTCTTAACTAACAAGAGCCAGTACTGTGTTTCCTTCCTGTTCTGTCCTTGTTTTTGTGTTAGTTTCAAAAAAGAAAAAAAAATATTCCTCAGTGTGTGCCCTATCTTTTAAGGAGTTCTCTGCTTACCCTGTTGCATTTTGCTGTCCTCTGAATGATGGGGGTGAGATTGAAAGCAGGTTCTACTCCTGTCTTAGGCAGCTGTTTAAGACAGAGGCAGTGGCTGCTCCTACAGACTGTCATTAATGGATTGAATACTTGATGCCCTGGAGAAAGCAGAAGTTTCCTGGTTCAGATCAAGCCAAGAATTAGATGGCAGTCCTGTTTTTGTTTTTGTTTTTTTAATTTTTAAGCACTTTTAAGTACTAAGAGGGATAGATAACCTAGCCCCTGGCCTCAAAGAGTTTATGTTCTAAATGGAAGATAAGTCATAAACCGTGAAAACTTTAAGATCTCCTTAACTGTTCAAAATAACTAAACAGAGAGCCTTCTCAGATTATGCTTTTGCCTGTGGTGTCAGACCCTACATCTTTCCACGAAATTTTCTTACATTATTTCCTTCAGCAAATATTTATTCAGGGTCTTCCATGGGCCAGGCCTGAACAGGGCAGCTGAGATCTTAGCCCTGGAGGAGCTTACAGGCTTGTGGGGGAAGTCAGCTAATCAAGAAGTAGCCATATCACACAGTTAGGACCTGTTTTCCAGAAAAGAACACTTTCTACATAAAGCCGAGTTCACCAATGAGATGATATAAAATATCACTTGGAAGCATTTTTCTTCTAGCCATCTTGATAAGCATTTCTTAAAGATTTCTTTCACCATCTTGGCAAGCTTTTTACTTCTTTTTGACCTTAGGAGTGAGGGATGAGTCTTCAATGAGACAAAGAGATCCATTTTATAGGGTGAACTGCATTTTAAAAAGGTAGGTTTAAATTGTTGCCCTTTGTCTGTGGTTCTTTATTCTTTGTGGGGAAAATGGTTCAGATCCAGAGAACGGATAGGCTTAGGAGGTAATTTTTGTAGGCTGTTAGCTATTAGTATTGTTCCATTTTTCTCAATTTCTAAGTAAAAGTGATTAAACATACCCTTGGAAGCAAGGACTAACCAGAATTTAATCTTTTTCAGAAGCTGAGAAGAAAGCACCCTGTCCTGGACTTGGCTTGTTTTACACCTTATTGTCTGCGTTCCTCTTCTCAGTGGGCTCTTTATTTGTTAAAAAAGTGCAAGACATCCACGCTGTAGAAATTAGTGCATTCCGATGTGTGTTCCAAATGCTAATCATTATCCCTTGCTTAATATACAGGAAGTAAGTATTTCTTACCTGCAAAGTAGAAGGTATTAATAAATGTTTGTAAATCTTTTGACCTGTTTAAATTATCTACTCTACAGACTCTGCTTTATCCCTCTCATAGTTTTACCAGTCCCTACACCCTTTGGCTCAGATTAATGAAAAGTCACAAGGATCCACCCACAGAAGATGCTCTCATAAGCACCAACCACATGCCCAAACAAAGGAGGGGAAAGAGATTCAGTTATTTACCACCCCCTATTTTGAGAACAAAGCTTTCCTTGTACAATTCCCCCCATCTTGTACCACCCTCCCTCTTTCCTTTGGCATAACTAGTATTTGGAAGAAAAAAGTAAACGAGAGGAAACAGTAGTGTCTCCTAGTGTCAGAGGTTTCTTTAAGTAGAACAGGCTGCTCTCCTACCAGGGCAGACAGAAGGTTACAGTAATAATATTTAGGTCTTCCCACTAGGGTGCCATGGGAAAGGGGAAAGGGGATCTTGAGAAAGGCCTTTTTAGCTCTTTTCTTGTTCAGTGTCCTCATCTGTAAACTGGAGGGAATGATATCCTTTGTCCTCTACCCTGTATGAAAACTGTAGTTCCCATCCTTACTCTTCTTTCCCCGCCCAGCCTCCCCTCCCCTTCCACATGGACCCCATACACACACCCTCCCCAGGTGAAAATTATACCTCCCCCACAGTTGTAACCTCTACACACCCCTGTGTACTTAGACGCCTGGGAGGAGCGCCTGTTGGGTTCCTGGTGGCTGTTTGGCTCTTTCTCTCTTTGGGTAAAGATGGTTAAACTCCAGATTAAAAGCTTTAGTCACTTGCTACCAAAGTCTCTTTGTATCTATAACTCAGTGCAGATTTACTTAGAATAGTTTCACTCCTTATCCCAAGTCTTTGGTGAAAAATGTGAAAATCCTCTAAGATCAAAAATATTGTCAGAAATTCCCGTGTAGGTGTGGACAAGTCACAATATTTTAGGAAACGATGGTAGGTAAGACTTCAGAAATGTCTAAAGGTGGCAACAGACCACTGATGCTAACACAATCATTCTCTCCGTTTTGGAGTAAAGGTATTGGCAGGAAGGCACTTAGAAGAATTTTCTTAAATTGTTGGCACTAATCTGTTTTGACCCATTTTATGTGTCACTATCATGAAAAACTCTCAGCTTTTCAAAGTATGGACCAGAGGTGACCACACTTTCATTTCTAACTCCAGAGACCAAGGGCTCCCTATATCAAGCCTAGACGCTGCTCTAAAAAGGCCAGCTCTGGCACAGACCAATGAGCCGCACCTAGCCAGGAACTTACACAGTACTCTGCTTCGTAAATATTTAATTGTAAAGCATTTGAGCAGCAGTTATTATATTTATCCGAATGCTACAGTTTCTTTTCCAGTGTATTTTAACTCTTTTCCTAAGGAGAACAATGAAAAGTCTCATATTCAATGGCTGAAATAAATTTTAGCATTGCTTTCAGCTGTAACAGAAAAACTCACTAAGATTGAGAATGCACACTCGCATTCCCAAGTTTTCTTATACAGGGCAGCTAAATAATGAAATTGTATTTATTATAAAAATAACACTTTTTATTATAGAAAATTTGGGGAAAATAAATAGGAAAATTGCCTATGAGTCCACCTATTAAGGTATAACCATGATGAACATTTCAGTATATTTTCCTTTTTGTCTTTTTTTGCAGGCATATATCTATACCTAGGGAAAATAATATCTCTTTGCTGACTTATACTATTTATGTATTTCTCTTGTGCTATTTTTGCTTCTACTGTGAACACTTTAATGTCATTAGCTATACTTAGGACACACTTTCTAAAAGGTGTATAATACTTGTAGACATAATTAATTTACTATTTCCTTGTTTTCTGATAGTTAGGACTTTTAAGATAAGCTTAATTTAAAAATGTAATTTGAAAACAAATACCGAGTTCATTTAATATGCATTCCTTCCTTTGAATTTACAGAACTGGGTTCATAGGCCCCAAAGGTCAACGAATCTTCCTCCTTCTCAGAGGAGTCCTTGGTTCTAGTGCCATGATCCTTTTATACTACGCCTACCAGTCAACATCCCTCGCTGACGCCACGGTTATCTCATTTAGCTGTCCAGTGTTTACGTCTATAATTGCTTGCATATTTCTCAAGGAAAAGTATAGCCCTTGGGACGCTGTCTTCACTGCATTCACAATCACCGGAGTGATCCTTATCGTGAGGCCGCCATTTTTGTTTGGTTCCGAAGTCGTGGAGACGGATAAAGACTATTCAGTTCACCTGAAGGGTGCTTTCGCAGCACTGGTACACGCTGTGTTTGCTGCCGTGACTTTAGTTATCCTAAGGAAAATAGGGACATCTGTGGACTACATGCTGAGCATTTGGTATTATGTAGTAGCTGGCCTTACCGAGTGCATCATTGCCCTTTCTATATTAGGAGAGTGGAGTCTGCCGCACTGTGGGTTGGACAGGCTATTTCTCATACTGATTGGGCTGTTTGGTTTGGGAGGTCAGGTGTTTCTCGCAAAAGCCATTCAAATAGAAAAAGCAGGGCTAGTAGCATTAATGAAGACTATGGATGTGGTCTTTGCTTTTATCTTTCAGATTATTTTCTTTCACGATGTGCCGTCGTGGTGGACAGTGGGTGGCTCCTTATGCGTAGTAGCCAGTAGCATTGGAGCAGCCGTTCGTAAATGGTACCAGAGCTCCAAATAAAGCATCATTGCTGAAATGTGTATTTCTTTAAAGTACACCATCACCCAGTTCAGACATACCACCTGCCTACACACCTGGAAAATCTGCATTTACTTCACTGACTATATACATTTCATAGTTAAGGTACCATTTTTGAATATGGTATGTCTTTAATTAGTTGAGGATAGCCAGTCAGTTGGGTGTAGCAATTATTATTTTTTGTGTGTGTCAGTTATTTTTTGGTTTTGGTTTTGGCTTTGGTTGTTGGGGTGGCATTTGGTAAGAGAACACATCATTAGTTGAAGAAAAACTGCACAATTTTTTATGACTCAAGTATAAATATATGTAATTTTTAAAAGTGTATTTTTGGTACTGATGGGATATAGGTGGGAAGAAATTTTAGATTCTCTTTTAGCAGTGTAGAGGCTAAGAAACTTATTGATAATAATGCTGCTGTATAATTAGTGTTGTGTTGAGAATTCATTTGAAATGTAATCCCATTTAGGAGGCCAAAGCTGAAACCTGGAGTAGGTGCCTGCTTAATGGTATTAATAAAACAAATGAATTAGCCTTATTTTCAAGGCTTTTATAAATTATTGTCATTCTTTTAACCCATATTTGTGCCTTTTCACTCTAATGCTGAAATTTTCATACATAAACTTAAAAAAAATCTTTAAATCACCAAATTTGGCTAATAGTTTTCTGTTTTAGTGGCATTATCATCTGTGGCTACATTCTGTAAGTCTAATTGTCCTCTGTTGTTTTGAAACTGCACTAAATTTTTCTTAACTTTCTAAGTTAAGGTGTTTAAAAATCATAAGAAAGAAATCTTGGCATGGCCAGTGTGCACATTTCCATCCTGAAGTGTTTTCCCTATACTAGAAATGTGATTTTCTATAAACTCTCCTTGAATTTATGGTGCGATGCCAAATAAAATTTTCTCAGGGCTTTATTAGGTTGAACCATAAGAAATTGATGAGATTTTACCTTTTTAACTTACAAAAACCATAGTTCCTTATGGTTCACCCTATTAAGATACCTCTCTTACCTTCTAAACCAAATACTTAGGGGACTTTGGAGTATATTTTTTTAATTACTTTTTAAAATACAGTAATCCTAGTAAACTTATTTTTGTAGTCTTTTTCCCTTATGGAGCTATATATAATAATGCTTCATGTTATATAGTAAATGTAGAGACCTGTGAATCCATGGTCGATTGATTTTTGTAGTTTCTTCAATAGGAAAACAAAATCACTGTTAAATTCTAGTATATCAGTATGATATTGTCAGTGCTGCACCATGATACTAACATCATGAATTCAAACAACACATTTTATGTCTGGAACTTCATCAGGCCAGTATTCTGCGGTTAAAGAGAGAATGTAATATTTAGGAAACCTTGGGAGGTTAATCAGGAAGTAGAGAATAAACGCAAATGGCTCTTTGTCACAGTGAACCCTTTACTGGTGAGGCTATAATGGTCTCCAGCTCTTACTGTGTCAGAGCTCTTATCTTAAGCCTACAGATTTGAAAGATTATAGGCTCTTTCCCACTGTTTCATCACAATTCTTCCGAAGTAAGAAAGAACTTGGGCTTCTGAGGTTTATGCCTTGGTGAGAAAAGGATCTTTTCCAGTAGTTCCAAGAGGAAATTTTTGGCTTGCTGATCTTCCCAAGTGCTTCCCACCAGACAAATCCTAAATGAAGTCTATTTAGGAAAGTCACACTATCTTTATAACTTTAGCCTAATCTGCAATATTAGAGTTTAGAGTTGCAAAACCATCATTTTGCCAGTATGTTAGATAATTATAGAATTAGAGCGTCTTAGGGCCCAAGGGTTAGAGATCCTCTTGTAGGAGACATGCTCCATGTTTAGGGATGCTAGGGAGGGGACCTGCCCAAGATCCCTCCTTTAGTTCCATGATTAAGTACGGAAAGTAAACCACTGCTTGAGCTACATAAGGTAAATGAACTCTCAGGGAACCCTCTCCTGGTTCTTTACCTTGCACAATAAAAGAACCTATGGGACCTTGAAAGTTAAATGCCTTTGGGCCTGTACACTAGAGACATGTTTTATTTCAACAGTGTGGTTTAAGTGCTTGAATGTCACAGTATATGACCAAAGTTGGAGAAAATGTTTCTTCTCCCAACTTTTACAGGGTGTGACTCTTAAACACTTTTATAATGTCCAGGGTATATACAAGGATATGTATTGTAACAATTATGGGTGCATATATTTTGCAAAGACTGTAGTTCCTATTATCTTGAAAAGGGAACTATTTTCATAAACTGGTTTTATTTTATAATTGCTAATAAAATTAATATGAAAGAAAACTATATTTTGGTTTTTATGATTATAGCATATGTGCTAGCTAATATACCTTATTTCTTTTTTCATCCATATGCTTCAAAATGTACTTCTTAAAGAGATTGACCTCTGGCCATTCAGTTATGATGTAATAAGTTTCAAATTGTTTTATCTGTCTCTCTGATACTGTTACATCAAATCTAATGTCTCAAAAATAAAGGTCCTAATCTTATGTTCCAGTGAGGCCTTTATTTTTCTAGATCCTCAGAGCTTGGAGCAGCTTTTGTTCCTATAGCTAATCTGTTACTAAGTCATGGAGTGTCTGTCTTCTTATTGTCTTGTGAATTCTTCTTTCCTCACCTTTCCACTGCTGCCGACTTAGTCCGAGACTTATCACCTCACACCTGAATCACCACAACAGTATCCTTGTTATCTGCTTCTAGACTCTTTCTTCCACTCAGATCCTTGTTCCACTGCCAGACTAATCTTCCTAAGGCCCTGCTTTCATTGTTACTCTGGTTCTCATGTAGACATAGCAGTGCCTTCTTATGTACCACATCACATCCAAATTATTCATCTAACCCTATTCCTACTTTTCCAACTTGATTTCTTGTATTCCAATACGAATTCGATACTCGGGTCAGTCTCCCCACCAACTCCCACATTTGCCAAGAGATCCCTTCCTTTGTGTTTCGCCTGCTTTCTTTGCCCTCTCTTCTTTGCTCTCTAAAGCCTCTTAGTCTCCAATGGCTCAGCTGAGCTTCTGTTTCTTCCACTGTCTCCAGCTTCTCCCACCCATACTAGTCCACCTTGGAAGAATGGATAAAGCACTGGATTAGCTGTCTGAAGATCTGGGTGTGGTGTAATCACTTTCCAGCCCGGCCCTTCTTCCACTTAGTGTCCTTGAGCCTGTTTTCCTCATTTGCTTCAATTATTAAATGGAAAAATATTACTTGCCCCAACCCATGTTACAAATAAGTGTCATAGAAGGACTTGTAGACCCCAAAGGAGGACAAACACACTTAAGTATTGAACTGTGGTTACTATGGTAGAGTTGAGCATTCACTTCCTCTTCAAAATGATGCCTAGCACAGGGTCCTTCCCCCTGAGCAGTCTCACCAGGAATGGTATGAACAGTTTTCTGGATTACAAACCTCATTTGGCTCCCTCCTGCCAGCACAGAATTCTACTGTTGGACAGCTCTAATTTCCTGGCTGATCTGCCCATGTAGGGCTGCCAATGGTCACCAGTCTTTTTATCTTACCCATAGGTGTCACCGTCTTTCCAGTTCTGGCTTTAGCTCTGTGAGTATCACACTTGGCTCTGACTAGGGGGGTGAGCCTGATTCTCTGTGTGTTTCACATGCACTATTCTTCAAACTCAGCATGGCTCTTCTAGCCTCTTATCTTTTCACCCAATAAGCATAATTAGTCTACTGAGGGTAATCCAGTAGGAAGAGCCAGATCTCTTTGATAACATGCTGGCCTCTGATCTAGGTGTATGGAGCCATGGTCAGTACTGGGCATGATGATTTGGTAATTACAGTGTAGGCTGGGCACGTGCAGCTGGGCATTACCCCAAACACACTACTATATGACCCCTTTGGTCCCTTACATCAAATCTAATACAGCTACCATATTCACTTAGAGTTCTGCAAGAGGGTCCCTCTGTGATCCACAAAGACCCATTCAAGTTTTAGCCTATTTGAACGCCAGATTTGGAAAACCAGTTCACAAAGAACCCATGAATCTTGACACTGCCCATCACTTCCTGGAAATGGTGGGTGAGGATTTATAGCAGGAGGGTAAGGAGCAGACATATCTGGTGTCAAGGTAGGGCAGAAAATGTTTTACCATAGAAGTCCAGTCTACAAGAAAAGGTTCCACTGGGTTCCACAAGGTGCTATGCCAGCTATCACCTCCTGAGCCAGATTTGCAACACTATGAAACAATGCTATTTTTATCACTAATTTAAAAAAATAGTTACTTTTCATAAGAAAAGTTATTATTTATGTTATAATGGAATCTTTTAAAATAAACAAATGGAAACTTTTTAGTTTTGCTTTTAAATATTGTAAAATATATATATCCCACATGAACCAGAAGCTCTTTGGAGTCCAGTCCTCAGAAATGTTTAAGAGAGTAAAGGGGTGCAAGGCCAAAAGCTTTCTGAGCCATAGGTTTCATAGAGGTATCAAATTTGAAACCTTAAAAAACAAAGATTAAACCCATCCCTTCTATTTCATGAGGTTCTGACAGTCTGAAATGCAGCTAAATATCAGTTTGTAAATTAGAAACCTCTTTAATGTGGAGTTTAATTTTAGAATTGTGAAGTTAAATAACTCTAAAACTATATAAGAGGTCCAGATTATGTACCTGAGAGAGAGCAAAGGAACAATGAGAATCCAATTAGCCCATGGTCATTGGGTCATATCAAATTGTCTCCATTACTTCCTATGTATATGCTTTGGTTCCTTGGTATGTGTACTTTAGAAAACTCAGAAGACTTTGCTACTCTGTAGGGTAGCATGTGCATTGATACAACTTCTATGAAGGGCAATTTGACAACATCGATTAATTTACAGATGCACATATTTTTTCACCCAGAAATTCCATTTCAGGAATTTGTCTTATAGATATACTTGCTTACTGAAAAATGACATATACAAGATTATTTATTACAACATTACTTAATAGCAAAAAACAGAACTAGCCTGAATGTTCCTCAGTAGGGTACTGGTTAAACAAGTAATGGTACATACACAAAATACAATGGCATTAGAAGTAAATTAAGCCACACC